TGTTTTTTTTTTTTTTGCGGTACGCGGGCCTCTCACTATTGTGGCCCCTCCCGTTGCGGAGCACAGGCTCCGGACGCGCAGGCTCAGCGGCCATGGCTCACGGGCCCAGTCACTCCGCGGCATGTAGGATCTTCCTGGACCGGGGCATGAACCCGCGTCCCCTGCATCGGCAGGCAGACTCTCAACCACTGCGCCACCAGGGAAGCCCAGCTGGCTGTTTCTTATAATAAGTCTTATAACACTTTGGTTTTTTAAATTATGCATTTGTATTCATGACAAAAAAAATTACATTTTCTGAAATGCCTGGCATATAGTAAATGCTCCAAAAAAATAGAATGGGGACTCTTACCCTTTTATTTAAGTAGCATCTACATTATTATAGAGCATTGTTCTTGGGTATCATCAGTGAGGCTATTTTAAGGCATTTCTGCCCAACACATATCATCTTTGAGGATTAGAATTTTTAAAATAATTATATTTCACAAGCAATGACTCTTCCACTCTTCAACTACTCTGATAAGAAGTACCTGGTCCTCAGTAAGATTCTCAGCATCCCAGTTGCTGCAACGAAGCAGAAGGGACTTGTCAAGGGGAAAGTTCAAAACAGTCTCAGCGAGTGATTTCAGGCTAAGCCCATTAGAGAGCAAATTGTTTCTACAAGAAATAAATAAAATCATGTGTCAAAAATGGGAAAGGACAAGAACAGGCAAATCAAAAAAGGTATACAAATGGCCAATAAACAAATGACACATAATTTCACTACATCAAACCAAATAAAAGTATGTACAATTTTAAAATCTATCAGATTACAAAGATTTTTTAAAAGTAACTAAATCTAGTATTGGTGGAACATGAAGAATCACCATCTAATCTAAAATCTGTGCACTGAACATTTGTATAACCTTTATGAAAAACAGTTTGTCAGTAAATAGCTATCAAAATTTTGAACATGAAAATTCTGTGATTCAATAATTCCACTTCTAGTAATTGATCCTAAGACAAATGTACATAAAACAATCTTCATTACAGCACTGTTTATAGTAGCAAAGAACTGGAAACAACCTAACATCCTCAATAGAAGACTGGTTAAATATCCATGCAATTAAATTCCACGTCGCTATTAAAAATAAGGATGTAGATCTATATTGATGTGAAAAGATGTCCATGATGTATTAGTTAAGTAACAAGAGATTATGAAAGAAAACATGATATGAACTCTTTACATTAATATATATATATATACACTACACAATAAATGTGTGTATGTGATTCTAGGTATGTGAGAGAGAGGAAGCATAAAGAGTTAGCTAGAAGGATATTAATCAAACGTTAGTGATGTTATCTCTGGGTGTGGGGTTTGGGGTGATCATAAATCTTTATATTTTATGTATATATATATATATATATATATATTTTTGGCTGTGTTGGGTCTTCGTTGCTGCGCGCAGGCTTTCTCTAGTTGCAGCAAGTGGGGGTTACTCTTCGTTGTGGTTCACAGGCTTCTCATTGCAGTGGTTTCTCTTATTGCGGAGCATGGGCTCTAGGCGTGTGGGCTCACCAGTTGTGGCACATGGGCTCAATAGTTGTGGCTCACCGGCTTTAGAGCGCAGGCTCAGTAGTTGTGGCACACGGGCTTAGTTGTTAGTTTCATGTGGGATCTTCCTGGACCAGGGCTCGAACCCATGTCCCCTGCATTGGCAGGAGGGTTCTTAACCACTACACCACCAGGGAAGTCCTACATTTTTTATATTTGAATTGGCTAGTGTTTGTGTATTACTTTTCAAATTTGAAAAATATGATAAGCCTACTTTCATTGAGGGCGCGAAGGTACAATAAAATCAAATAATCTTCTGCTCTTCAAACACTTTCTGATTCAAATAGCTGCAGAGTGGTGAAAAAAATTAATTTACCCAAGGATTGGAGAGTCCAAACAAGGGCTAATGTAAAATTAAGAACACACCAGTCTACAAAACTGGAGCTGACTTGCTGGTTACCAAGTGAGAGACGAGAGGTTTTAGAGGAGGAAGCTTGGAGGTGGAGGTTCACATCAGTGTTACTGTTACAACATGCACGATTCCCTCAGGTACTGTGGAAAATGAAATCATTATAATGATGAAGAAAAGGAAGTCCTTCGTTACAAAAACAAGCAGTAACTTGATGGATTTCATCACCCCCAAAAGGCAGCACTGACTAAAAAGTTAAAAAAAAAAGGTCCAGACACACTTAGGTAAAATATGTAAGGTCGTGGTTCAATTAATGGAAATTAAGAATTTGGGGGAGACAAACTTCTTTCCTTTTATTTTAAATTTTTAAAATCTTTTTATGCTTTCCTTTATATTAGTAATTACAATAGCAATGAATGTTTACTGTTAAAAATTCAGACAACAGAGAAGAGTAATGGGTGAAAAGTGAAAGCCCTCCACCCCCACTTCCACTCCTCAGGAAGAATGACCCTTATGAGTATATTGTGGCCGCTCCAGACCTTTTTTACAGACAAACAAAAAAACAGATGGTTAGACGGAGAAGCAGATATAGTTTCTTGGTATTTGTTTTGTTTTTTATTCTGCAACTTGCTCTATCACTTAATGTATCAGGGACCTCCTTCCCTGACAGTAAGCACAAATGTGCTTATTACATTCTTTCTAACAGCTGTGCCATTTATCAAGACTGGGTATTCCATAATCCTTGAAATCATTACCCTCATTGAAAGACAGCACTTAGTTTTTCGTTACTTAATTCCATTTAGGTCATTAGTCTTTTATTTATTTATTTATTTTTGGCTGCACTGGGTGTTCATTGCTGTGCACGGGCTTTCTCTAGTTGTGGGGAGTGGGGGTTACTCTTCGTTGCGGTGTGTGGGCTTCTCATTGCAGTGGCTTCTCCTGTTGCGGAGCACGGACTCTAGGCGCGTGGGCTTCAGTAGTTGTGGCACATGGACTCAGTTGTTCCGCGGCATGTGGGATCTTCCCGGACCAGGGCTCGAACCCGTGTCCCCTGCATTGGCAGGAGGATTCTTGACCACTGTGCCACCAGGGAAGCCCCATTAGTCTCTTTTTAAACGTCCTATTTGGGAAGGTTTCACATTTTTCGAGGATGGATTAAAAACAAGATGCCACCTTAGCTACTTCAAAGTTTCACTAGGAAAGGTTCCAAAATCATATACAATAATCTCAATAATCAACTATCTTCTGCTAACATATAATAAAAATATAGAGAGTATGAAGAAAAGAGGACAGCATTACCAAGAAAATCTGTGCTCCTCTCCAAAGTCAAATGAAAGTAACTACTTACAGCAAACACCAGGAGCAGCCTATGGCTAAAAGCTGAGTATAATTCTTGCACTATAACGTCAAATTTCTTCTACTATATGTCAAAAATTTTTAATTTTACTTTTAAAGTATTCAAGAATAAAATAAGAATGTTTAAAATTTTAATAAGATTTCATTAAAAATGAAGAAGCCTGATAAATGCTTCATTCTTATTTCTAGAGAAGTTCATGGTCATATTCAGCTTTGGCCAAATTTTCTATTTTGACACTTGGCCATTCTGCATTTAGCCAGATAAGTAAGGGCACTTCTAATTTCTATATACTCATAGAGAGGACTGTAAATGGATAGAAAGAGATCTGGAAGGACAAACCAATCAGATCATGGTGGTGCTATAGGTGGTGATGATGACGATGATGATGATGGACAGTAATAGTTGAAATTTACACAGCACTCTCTATATGTCAAACACCACTTCTAAGTTCTTTACATAGTTTAACTCGTTTAATCCTCACACCGATCCTATGAGATGGGAACATTATTATTTCTACTTTTCAGATGAGGGAACTGAGGAACAGTGAGGCTTAGTAACTTGCCAAAGGTCACGTAGCTGGTAAGAGGAAGACTGGGACTCCCACCCACACAGCCTGCTCTGGAGTCAACCCCTGGCCACTATACACATGGCCTCTAACAGCAGAGTAACAGCAGGCAGCTCTAGCACCAAAGGAAGGAGGGCCTGACGAAAGGCGGCTTTGGCTGCTACACTCCAAATACTTTTACAGAGCTAAAAGAATTTTACAGTAAGTATTTCAATGTATTACTTGGAAAAAAATGGATACTTCATTTATAAGAGTTTCTTTTTTTTTTTATAAGAGTTTCATTTACACAAGCCAAACTACTAAACTAAACTAAAATTTCATTTACTACCAAAAAATTATGATAAGCATAGATTTTAATCAGGCCTTCTGTTAGTTTATCAAATTCTCCAACCCTTCAATATCAGTGGCAGGGAGAAAGGCAGGGAGAGAGGCTGTTTCAGTCCACACTATTAAAATGAGGACCTGCATATATACATGAGAAGGTAACTGCAGCTTCCTTAAACAGGGTAGAATTTCCATAGGAATAGAATTCCAAAGGAAAGGAAAATGTCTTCCTCTCAGTAAAGCATTAGGTCTACCATCATTCTGGGCTGAAAGCAGGGTCTGCACATTCAAATGTTGATCAGGATGAGCTGGGTGTGACAGCTGGGAGGGGTGGGGATTCTGGCAAATTGAACAAAGCATGCTCCTCTAAGAGGATGCTTCCAGCCAGCTGCTACCGTCTAGAACTACTGACCTAGTGTAGTCAAATCACCTAATTTTTCAAGAGAAGCCAGGAATACAGGTTTTTACATTAAATCTTCTGAATTTAAACTAAAATCTCCCCAAAATATCATGCAGGACAAAAACAAAAACAAAAAATCTGCAACTCTAATTTGCCCAAGGAGCCCATCAGTTTACAGCCTGTAGCTTATAGAGACACCTTATTAATGTTTCATCTAAAAAGACCAATTCTAGGTAACTAAAGTTTTCCCAGAAGTTGGAATATTTCCTCACAAATTCAATATGCATCTCAGAAGCCTTTAAGCATCTGAAGAATTTTAGAGGCTTCATTACTGAGTCTCAGTAATCTACAACCCTTGCTAAAATATTTGCCCCCCAGCTACAGGAGTTCCAGTATTCGTACGAACCATACCTCTGCCTCATGGCTAGGTATCTGAGGTCCAGGCACCCCTTAACGACGAGGCCATAATCTTGCAGAAGCTTGCTGGCATCTTCTGAACATCCTACTCCAACTTTTAAAATCGTGCCATCTGCCAAAACGTCCAGTAACGTTTTCGGTAGTGCCCTTCCTCCACAGATCAGCTTGGGCAAGCGAACCAAGGCACAGAAGCCACTTGGACAGGCCATTTGAAGGAGTGACAGAGGACTGGCTTTGCCTTCCGAATTCACCTGTAACAGAGGAAAACAGGGCCACAGTTCACACCCCAGCATAGGACCAAGTACAACATGAAAGTCTGGCAAAAAAGTCTAAGAGGTACAGTCTTAATTTCCCAGAGGGAACAACTGACCAGAGTTTGCCTCAAACCTAACGATGAGCCTTTGCTAACGAATGCAATGCACTCTAAGAAGCAGCGGCCTAAACAGAGGTTACCGGGGGCCCAAACATGAGCCTGAAATGAGCAGGCCATATAAATAGTGACCAGCTGACACAGAGCAGTGCTGGGACACACATTGGCAGAGTCACGTGAGACACACTGGTTTTAAAAAGCTAAGGAAATAAAAGGCTAAGGAGCAGAGCGCCAAACGATGATGGACTCTTTTCATTTACTAGACTCTTTAACATACATGTTAGTAACTTGACTTATATACTTGTCATCACTGCCTCCAGATCCGACTTTTAAAAAGAGGTAGGAAATACAGTACCATCAGTAAGTGGTACCTGCCAATATAATAAATCGTAGTAGCACAGAGTGCTTTCTCAGCATTTTATGGTCACAAATGCTGTTCATAAAAAAAATGTATATTGAGCATAAGCTAGGATTCTGATATCTAAAGAAATGAAAATAACTTTATATTTTAACTGATCTAGTTTTAATCTTTTTGATGTAATAGATAAATTGGAGAAAGTGCTTAAAGCTAAGGAAATTATTCCCAGAAAAATTTACATTAATTAAAGGTTTCCTAAAGCTATCCACAGAACCCAGGTTAAGCATCCAATAAATTCCAATCCTTCTTATTTTCCAGGAGAGGAAATTTAAGGGCTACAGATGAAACAGTTTGACTAAACATGCAGAGATAATGGCAAAGTCACAAGTGGAACCCAAATTTCCCAATCTGTACAACAGAGAAGAAACAGTCAAGATCAAGATCACGAAGAGCTGCTGTTAAAAACAAAATTGGGAGGGACTTCCTCCTCGACTTCTACTTCAGTGCTAAGTAAAACCACGGTTTAACTCAGAAAAGCTTTAGGATTCCCCTTCTCAGGCATTGTTTTATCATATCCTCAAATGGAAACATGCCAGTTTGATTTCCAAAGTGTCTATTTCTTGGAAGATCAACAAGACCCAGAAGAAACTTGACTACTGGTTCCTATTCTATAACAATTCATCTGGATGTGACCAAATCACTTTTTTTTTTATTAAAGCGTAATTCCCTCCCTCTATAATACTGGCTCTCTCCAAGAAAAAGCAGAAAATCTCTACTTCTAATATTTAGCACTGCTAATTTGACATAATACTCACTGCTAATTCCTAAGGCCAGATCTTTGAAAATCTTTTCAGCCAAGTTCCGTTGTCTAAAATACATTAAATAAATAGCTAGCTAGCTAGATAAGTTGTCCTTTTAATACTGTTTCTGGATTGTGCTTAAGATCCACTGTATTATAATTAAGGTTTTTCCACTAGGAATCCAAATGTTTATGATTCCAATAGGTACCCAATTTATACTGAATGTATGATTGGAAGAATATTGCTTCTAGCAAACTCAATTTGGCTTAAAGAATAAGGTATCTAGTCTTTTTGGGGGGGCGCTGTGTCAGGTCTTAGTAGCAGAACATGGGATCTTCGTTGCGGCATGTGGGATCTTTAGTTGCGGCATGCGGACTTCTTAGTTGCGGCATGCAGACTCTTAGTTGTGGCATGCAAACTCTTAGCTGTGGCATGCATGCAGGATCTAGTTCTCCCACCAGGGATTGAACCCGGGCTCCCTGCATTGGGAGCATAGAGTCTTACCCACTGGACTACCAGGGAAGTCCCAAGAATAAGATATCTAGTCTTAATTTCTTGTATTTCCCCCTTTTGCCAACATCTTTTTGCCTTGACATCACTTACCACCCATGGAAAATAATGAAACCCTTGGCTTACCAACATTGTATTTAATAGGAAAAAAAAAACACATTTTAATTTCGTTAGCATTATGTAATCCAGGGGTCACTGGGTTTTTTGTTTGGTTTTTGATTAGTCGACTCATAAGAAATGGTTGGGACATACACAATACATGTACATATGCATTTATAAATCATATAAATGTAGTACTATACTAACGTGTTAAGACATTATGAAATACACACGAAAGTAAAAATTTGAAATGAATGATTTCAGTGATTCACTCACAGAGGACTGGTTTAGGGATCCTCCTTCCTGAGGGCCAGTGATCATCCATTTTAGCTTCAGGAATCTTACAAATCCAGAGCAAATAAAACATTATGGAAAAGTCCGCGATTCTTTAAATGACCCCACAATGGCAGCAGGGAGCAAAAAATAATCTGAGACCATATTCTGGGCTGGAACAAGGTTAACTATCTGTGGAGGTTATGTGTCAGTTAAACTAGACCATGGCTCGAGACAGGAATGAGCTTGTCCTGTTCAAGTGACAGAATGAAGGCTCAATGAGGCCGGAAAGTAGTAAGAGGAAGAGAAAAGGAGACAAAATCAGAGATGCTGAGAGAGGCAAGAGCATGTGAGTCCTTAAGAACACATAAGTAATTAAGACATCTTGGTTTTATAAGAAGCAATGGAGGCTTTTCAAGCAGGGGACTGAGACGATCAGATTAGCATTTTTAAAAGATCACTTTGCTTACTCTATGGAGAAGGGATCATAGGTATATGAGTCCAAGTAGGGAGGCCAGTCAGGAGGCTACTACAAAGGTCCAAATAAGAGACTCTTGAGGGTTGGACTAGGAAGGAAGTAGAGGAGATGTAGAGAAGTACATGGATGCAAAATCTATTTCGGAAATAACAAGGGTAATACTTCCTAAATGGAAATGAAGGGTTAATAGTAAGGAAAAAGGAGGGGACTTCAAGCCTGAAGCCTGGGCCTGCAGAAGGATGCTCTTGGGAAAATGACCTTCACTTCATTCAGTCTTTTTTACACCAATTACTTTGCACCTGTTAAGCAAGGCAGTCTATAGCCAGAGACTCCAGAAAAAATCAGGCAGGAGTCAGGGGCCAGAAATCTATTTAACATCTCCCTCTCCCCCAGAAGAAAGGCAATAATAGCTTCTAAAACATGGCAGAATCCTCATTTTATACAGGTGATTTATCCATACTTACACATCACCATGGGTAACTCGGGGGAATCTGGAAACGCATACCTCTATCTGGTAGAATGCTGTGTTATTTCCTGCTTTCTATAACCACTTCTTTGAATTTCCACGTATTTTGCCATTAAAGAAACTTAACATATTATAACTGCCTTTTTGTGTCTGACTTTCAATCATATCACTTCTGTTAGACAAACCTTAGCAGGGAGGATGTCTCTCTTGATTTTAATCTTAAAGGTGGAGACGACTAGGGATAATACAGGTTTGGGAAGAAAAATCGAGAGGTCTGTTAGGAACATGTTAAGTCTGAGATGACTATTAGACATTCAAGGGAGATGTCAAGTAGACGGGTGGATGTAAAGGGCTGGAGTTCTAATTTTGAGAGTCTTCAGCCTATCAACGGTATTTAAAGCTACAAAATTAGATGAGGTCACTTAGAAAAAGAATATAGATCAGAGGACATAAATTAGTAGTCCTTGGACCTGTCTGCTGTCCCACAGATGTTTAATATTATATATTTCTTTGATCTCCACATTTTAAAAACTTGTGCCAGAACTTTTAAATTGCAGTGGAGTTCACATTTTTAAAAAATCTATATATCGAGTTTCTTTTTAAAGAACTGGACAATCTGGCAACACTTGGCTTGAACTGTATAGCAGTTTCCTCATTTATATAAGGCATGAATTCTCTAATTCACCATAATGTCTTCTCAACACTGAAGCCAACTGTCATTTCCCATTTATCATTGTATTTGTAAACCACTGTTTTTCCAGCAAAGAAATATTTCTCAGGATCCATGTCTCTATAAAACTAGGAAAATGGAAGATAGATCACAGAGGTCTTGTGTTTAAAGAAAAAAGGGAGGGAGCATACTTCTTTATGAAATTGAAGAATACTCCTATGCATTCAAAAATGCAAACAATCACTCTACATTGCCCATTTACATTTCCTGTCTGGACCTTGTAGGCATCTGAGTTTGCAGTCCCTGGGGTGGATACAGAAGAGACCAAGCCTAAGTCAACTCAATATTTGGATGTGAGGTAGAAGGGGGATCAGAAAAGGAAAAAGAAGGAAGAACAGTAAGACAGGAGATAGGAGAGTATGATGGCATGAAAGCCAAAGAGAATGTCTCGTGCAGGAATTATGCAGATGCTTTTGAGAGCTAGAATAACATGAGTCCAAATAAGTGTCCACTGGACTGGAAAACAAGAAAGCCATCAACTTCATCCGTTTCAGTGGAGTAGTATGGTAGGATGTCAGACTAGAGTAGGTCGAAGAATAAATGGAGAATAGCAAATTATACCCAAACAAGTAGATGAAAAGAAGTAATAAAGAGCAGAAATCAGTGTAATGGAACATAAACATACAATAATGATCAACAAAGCCAGAAGTTGGTTCTCTGAAAAGACTAATAACACTGATAAACCCATGGAAGGAGTAATCAAGAAAAAAAAAAAAGAGAAGCAAATAAGCATTGTCAAAAATGTCCTTACATAAAAAAAAAAATGTCCTTACATATCCATCAGATAGGAAAAAAAAAAATGTCACTGGATATTATAAACAAGCATATGCCTGTAATTTAAAATTTTGAAAGAAGACACATGTAGATGAAAAATAAAATTTATCAAAACAGACATGAAGAAATAGAAAATATGAATAGCCCCAAAACTATTTAAAAAATTGTATTCATAATTCAAAAACTTCCGTCAAAAGGAAACTCCAGATGGCTTCACCAGTAGATTCTAATCAAACATTTAAGGAAAAAAGAATGACAATCTTACACAAACTCTTCCAGAGAACACAAACCAAGGAACAGCCCTAACTTGTATGAGGCCAGCATAACATTTTTATCAAAATCTGACAAGGTCATTTCTAGAAAGGAAAATTATAAGCCAATATCACTCATGAA